CACGAATGGCCAGTCGTGTGTTTATGGGGTAATAGTTACCCGATTGGGCTTCGGTTACCGTCATATCCCATGTCGGCCGTCGGTTGCGCTCACGTTTCAACAACTGTCGGCCGTTAGAGTCCGTATATAACACACCATTTGTGGTGAGATTTGTGTCGAAACGGACGATAATCTCTTTGCCCACACCATCGGTGAGCACAGGTATGGGTCCGCACACGTAGTCCAGCTCTATATAGTCCTTATCGGCGGCCACTCGTATTACTTGACTGATATACTCGTTAACCTTACGATGTATTTCCGTCAGCCCCGGGGTCTGTACTAATGTCGGGGTCTCTGCATCGGTTTTATTGTATGGTTTGGACGGTCCGTCCGGTCTGAACACATAGGCACCGGACGCCCGGAACTGCGGCGCAGTATTATTGCCCGGCAGTGACCGGTAGTATTCAAAACGCTGGTCAACGGCCACAGACTGACCGCCGGCGAGTCTAATGGCAGTCATTTGTCCCGTTTTGTCAAACATTACATCAAAACTGTTGGCTTTGGCCGAAAAACTGGCCGTAATTTTGCGGACAATCGGTTCGGTCGGTACGGATTGGGGGCTATTCTGGCGGACAAAATACGTGGCAAACCCGACCGGCGGTACCACCGCTTCAAACACCAACTCATCCCTGGCTTTACTCTGACGGCCGGGAATCGCCAACACTGGCGCCGGTATCGGCACTATCGTAGACGGGATCGACTTTCCCAACGGATCCAATACTGTGAACACTTTGTTAACGACCGGCAGCCATACGGTATGGGTAACCGTACGTCCCATCGGGTTATACACCGTAACCGCGAGTGAATCGTCCGATTCGGTCACCGGACAGGCGCTGACATTAAGATTCTCGCAAAACAGTCGGTCCACCACTAGAGGCAAGCCCTCCCGGAGCTGCGGCTGTTTTATCATCAGTTTATTCAACCCCTCGGCCACAACCTGCCGACACTTGTCGACACTCTTATAGAGTTTAAGGGCGTAATCGTTGGCCACGTGTTGTTTCTCAGTGCCGGTGACGGCGTCGTGATGTTGCATAACACCCATCCATTCTCGCAGTGCACTCACCCGACCCTCATTACCGTCGGCGCCCTCCGGCCAGCCCAACACATCCAACTGTTTGCACGTCTGAAGCATATTATTGCCGACCCTTTCGTACCGTTTGAGCGCCGGTCGACTCGTGAAACAACCCGTCCAATAGGAGTGCGGGTCTGAGGCGTACGGGACAAAGTCGTCCGATTTGGTGGGGAAAGTGTGGTTTGACTCGTGAAGAGCCTTCAGATAACAGGCGGGCGTCGAGTACAGGAGCCGTATGTCTGAGCGCCGGGCGTTTACATACTGTATAAGTTTGTCCATGTTTTTGAACCACGGATTGGCGGCCATGTATTGAAAGTCTTCGCCCATTGGAAACATCATGTGATTCGTGGCATACATTTTGCTGTACTTTTGCATATAGTCTACAAAACCGGCGACAACTGAGTCCACGTTGTAGTCCTCGGACTCCGGGTCGTCAATAATCGGGTCGTTTTGGGCGCTGACACCCGACGGGGCCATCACTCCAGGGTTACAGCCAACCAAATCCCAACAATAGGCGGTCGTATTGCCTGTTTAGGCATCGGATTAGTTAGTGATTTACATAAGGTTATAATGTTTAGCTATTAGCTAATCATTTATTGAATAATCCCTTAATTTCTAATCTAATGACACATAAATAAAATAAATGTAAAATCTTTGCTATAAAACTAATAATTTATTTTAATATTAATACTGTAACTATTACTTACATAATACAGACATGGTTTTAAAATCCATGAAAAACATTATACACATTCTCAACACTAGTCATTAATCCCTTATAACTATCGGTCAGACAATCGGTAATAACAGC